AGAAGCATAACGTTCACTCATCCAGAGTACTGTTTATTTAGAAAACATTCAGCTTAGTTTAAAGCATTCAAAAGAAAATGTTCAGCTTTGTTATGGGTGCTCTGCTTTGGTTGCCTTGGTGTAAATAAAGTACATGAAATATTGTGTTAGAATGCTTGGCATTCACTACAGTCTCACATAACCTATTTAAAAATAACACTTAAATAAAAACAACACTGACACAAGTTGGCAGCGAGCAATTAGTCTGCTTAAAGGACAAGTGCAAACTAACCACTCCAAGCTCACTCCCGTGATGGACTACAATTTCAATAGAAATGAGTAAGCTAAATGTGAGATTGTAGTTTATCACAGGAGCGAGCTTGTATCGGTGGCTACTTTACAACACACACAAGCACCATGGGGAACATCAGTAGCCACCCTCCAGAAGGAAGGACAGTATCCGCATGAATTCAGAGATGATTTGAGGATCTACAGCTGAGTGATACACAAATAAGATACATTTTTGTTAATAGTTAAGATACTTGAATGCAATTTTTAGCATTTAGCTCCTGAATTAAGTGTCACTTTAAGAAGGGGGACAGATCAAAAATGTTTAAAATTTGTTTTGTAGATATCTCCCTCTAGTGGCCAGATTGTCAATTGCATTTATTCAAAGTAAGCCCCTGACCAGTGCTAAGGTATGCTTCTAAACATGTTCATCAAATGTGTTGGCAATATTTGTATGCACACTACAGATTGCTTTAAAGTATATAGAGCCAAAAACATTTTTTGGGACAAAGATTAGAGCCCCTGTCACTTTTAATCTGACCCAGGGTTTCTTTAAAAAGATTTTCCCTTACTTCCTGACCCAGTGATAGCAGTTTTACAAGACAGGACATTAAGAAAACCCTGCAACAGGGACACAGGCAGCCATGACAAGCTGATGAAGGTTCTAGTAGTCCTCTACATTACTAAACATTTTTATATTTCTATCTGTTTCTGTTTACCCTCTTTTCTTGTCTAGGGAAACCATTGTCATCAGGACAGAAAGTGAGGGGTATATCTCTAACATGTGTAGCAGTAAGAAACCATCAAGGGTTTGCTCCTTGGCTCCATCTAGTGGCCATAATGCAGTGCAAATGTAAAAGTCAGATGATCACAGAGCGAACGGCTCTGCAAAAATGATATAAATACTCAACTAAGGGCTGGTGCAGACCTGGGCTATCTGGGACGCGCGTTGTAGGACCGTGCAAACGTGTGCAGTTGCACACAGTGGTTGCCGTGCGGCTTCATTGATTTCCATGGGGTTACATCCCTGCGGCAATCGCTGAAAAAAACGCTACATGTACCTTTTTTTGCGGCACACGACACGCAGCTTTTTTAGCTGCGATCGTGTTCAATTGCATGGGCGGATTCACGGCGGGAAACCACGCGATCTGCACGGTGTGACTGGGGTGACATTAGAAAAGAATGGCACCCCCAGCGTGATCAGCAGTGGTGTGCGACTGTGATCGCATAGTTTTTGTGCATGATTGCCACACTGTCACGGATCACGCAAGTGTGAACCTGGCCTCAGAATGTTGGGATAAAAGCATGGCAGATGGATGGTCCAGTCAGGCTAGGTTCACACCTAGGCCATTGCGCTTTTTAATAAAAGTGATTAAAAAGTAAGAAAATAATTATACAAAATAAACAATAATAAGATAAAAACTATAAAAACGTAAATTATAAAAAAAGTAAAAAGATAAATAAAAATCTAAAAAAATGAAATTGATTAAATAATAATTAAATAAATAAAAATGTAAAAAA